TTTGAAATCTTTCCTAGTCAATATTATCCAGAAGAGCAAGACTCTGTACTGAGAAGACTCCGAATTAGATAAACTCTGAATAGGCCTGCTCCTCTCCCTTTACTTTCAGTGGCCTTTTGGGTCTCCATTATCTTACAATTGGCTTGGTACCAGGGAAAAGGATCCTGGGTCTAGATCTGGGCTGAAGAAAAAGCTCATCTTTCTCTTCGAGTTCTTCCTTAATTGCTGTTCAGTTTGGGATATTCCGTGAGAGCTGGCTCTTGGGGATGTTAATTGTCCTCTGTATCACTTCTGCTAACTTTCCCTGATGGTTCATAGGCACATGAAATGTGGAGGCATTTTTATGATGAGCTCACCTCTATGGTAGTTCTTTTGTTTGTTTTTGTTTTTTTCTCAATGGGAGTCCTCTGCATCTTGGATCATGGGCTATCTCTACATAGAAGGTTTTACTTCATTCCTGCGCACACCACAGTAAACTATTGTCCCCCACAAAATTCTCTGTAAGTTCTTAGCGTGGGGTTCCTGCAGCTGCTTATGGCATGAACTTGGCTTAGGTCTATGTATGAATTTTCCTGGCCCCTTTCCTCGTAATGACATGTGCCTCTCTACTTTGTTTCCCTGGGTCACGAGGAAGAAAGCACCCATGGCTCTCCAGTCCCTGGACAGTGTTTCCTTGTTCTGTCTCCATTTCTCTTGGGTCCAAGATCACACCTTCTGCCTGGTGCATTCTGCCTTAACATCCCTGCGCTAGGGTTTACCTCTATGAGAAGGCCGCAGTGTCTCACAACCTGCTTTGACTCTGACTTTCCTGTTTCTGGGTCCAGAGTGAGGTGTGACTATGTATTAACCAGTCTGCTGCTATATTTTAACCAGCTCTGTCTGATTATCTATAAGCTTAGTCTGCCTTGTTTCTGAGTACCAGGGCCGTTCCTCTCATACCTTTGACTCTACCGAGGGGGAGAACCTCATCTGCGCAAGGTTTGCCCAGTGCTTGGTGGTGTTGCCCACTAGAGGCCAGTGAAGCCCACTCTATGCAGCTGCTCTGGGGGCATGGGTGCTCCTTAGCCTCTCTGAGAAGCATTGGGGCTGTGCTGGCACCAACTCCCTTCAGCCTCATCACAGCCCGCATACACCCAGGAAGGAAACTTGCCCTGCTGTAGAGCAGATTTTGCCTAAGTCAAGACACTCTCGAATCCCCAAGGACTTGAGGATTCTAGAACTTGTTTTCAGCTTCTCCACTCAGAACAACATTGCTTTTAGGGTCTCTGCAGGCTTCCCTACTGCCACAGCCTGGGCCAAGGCCAGAGAGGAAGCCATGGGGAAGAGGAGCTCTTGTTGCTCCCGGTGATGGGAAACTTAAGAAATTAATGCTAGAACAGGTGACCACAGCAGAGTCCCAGATCAGAGGGCTTGGGGAATAGGTAAGGGTTAAAGGCTACTACTCCCTCATGGAGTCCTTTGAAAAGGATAAGTAGGCTTTGAAGGCAGCTCCAAGCAACCACCCTGAGGAAGCCTGAGGCCAGAGTGCCCCTGGCCCACTCTCCCATCCAGTGGGTCCCCTTTTCCTTATCACTTAGTTGAGACTCGGCTCTGTTCCAGACCAGCAGCCTAGAGCAGTGGGCTGGAGCAAAGAGACACAGCCGAGCTAGGGCAACCCAGCGGCGGAGAGGAGAGTGGGTGATAAATTTAAATAACCAGCTTGACTTGGCAGCTTGCTGAGTTGTGATGCAGTGAAATTAAAATCTCGGCAGAACTTCCAAACGCTACCCTGAGAAATTGGTGTCTTGCCTTGGTTCCCTGCTGGAAGCTGGGTGGGGAGGCTCTCAGGCTGAGTCTTAGCCTGTGGCAGCCACCCTTGCCTGTGATGTGATTAGCTGTGTCCTGGCCCACTGGCTCCCACTCTCCCTGCCACACAATAGTACAGGCTCCTGTCTCCTCTCAGTCCTGACCTTGTGGAACAGCTGTATCAAGTGGCTGGTGAAGTTTGAAATCAGCCTCTAGTGCCAGGAGGTGGCAGGAATATCAATAAGGTCTGGTTTGCAGGTTGGGCCAAGGCCTTCCCCGCCAGCTTCCTTAAGACCCATTCCTTAGGGTTTGTCTCTTCTTAGGGAGGAGGCTGAGCTGGGTACCTGGGGACTTGCGGATTGCCTTGGCACATCCAAGGCTATAGGCACAGCATGACCTGGCAGCTCCCTGATTTAGCACCCATGAGGCCACGCCTACTATTAGGTTCCCTTTTTCCTCCACCAAAGCCCTTACTATTCTCAGATGAAATAAGCTTTTAAAGAATGTGAGCTGAATGGAGTGGCTCACTCTTTAATCGAAGCACTCAGGAGACTGAGGTACTTAGTTGGACTGTTCTGAGTTCGAGGCCAGCCTGGGTTACATAATGAGGCTCTATGAGGGGCGGGGGTAGAAAAATTTCTGCAAATACACCAAGAGTTTCTCTCACCTCCCCCAGCATGCTTGGAGCCCAGTTCTCACAGATGTCAACATCTCTCTAGAACTCACTCAAAGTCCATTTGTTCTGCCTGTCCTTGCCATACTGCTTCTTGCTACCTGTCAAGTCCTGGCCCAAAAAAGCCCAGCACGCTAAACCTGTTCCCAAGATGGCCCACGAAGTCTTAGGGCAATACCCGTTTCTCACCTTGACAGTAGCTCCAGCAAATTCTGTTTGTCCCCATAATAAACACATCATGAATCATTCATCTTTAATAGATTATGCAAATTAGGAGGACATAAAATCAACAAAGATCAATAGCTTCAGCCGTTTAATTGCCAGCTAAAACATTTTAAGAATGAGCATAATCTGCAGCTCTTTCTCGAGTAATGGCGCTATTAATCCAAACATTGGATCTTGGTCTAAGTGTGAACAGAATCATTCCCTGCCCCCAGCCACCCTTCCCTCCCCTCCCCCACTCCCTCCACACTTCTCTCTTTTTTGGTAATTTCCAGTTTCTGAGCGAGTTTCCCCGTCATTACCACTGGCGAACAGCTCCGAATGTTAATGGTTCTGCTTTTGTTACTCCTCGCTTGATTGAAATGTCGCATACAGATTGAGACGTTAGTGCTAACTTGCCACCTGGGAATGTCAAGCTGGGTCTGAAATGAACTTTTCTCACACTTGGATCCAGATGGATCAGCCGAAGATGTTCCCAGGCTGAGCTGGGACCGTTCCAGGGCCATGGGGGGGGGGGGGAAGATTTGTGGGGGCTGCTCAAGGTGGAAGCATTTTTCTACATTAGCCCCCCAGGGTCCCTTGCAGCAGGAGTCCTGCCCGGAAGAGCCACATGTCCACCCCCAGGAAGTTCCTGCCTTCTGGACTGCAGCGCTGACTATAAAGGTCCTTACACTCTCTTCCGACTTTTGAGGAGCAGCCACTGTGCCGGAAAGCTGGCCTGGCTTGGGCGGGACCCTCAGAGAGCAACTATATTGGACTTCAGAGAACTCATATCCAGGGCCTGTTGGTCTAAGCTAGAGGGTTCTCAACCTGTGGGTTGGGACTCCTTTGGGTCGCATATCGGATAATTACATTATGATTCATAATGTTGCATAGTTAACAGTAGCAAAATTACAGTTATGAAGTAGCAACGAAATACTTTTATGGTTGGGGTGGTCGCCACGGCGTGAGGCATTGTAGAAAAGGGTCACAGCAGTAGGAAGGGAGAGAAGCACTGATCTAAGCTGTGTCCTGACTCAGCTGGTGTAGCTCAGGTCATCACTCCGAGAAGCCGAGTCAGCCCAGGAACCCATCAGAGACTCAGTCTCTGGATTCCTAGCCAAAGACTACAACTCTGTTTTTGCTGGACATGGCTGTATGGGGCATCACTTCAGGAAAGCATGGGAGATATAGGGCTCTCTGGAGCCCCCTGGAGGGGCCTCTGAGCCCATCTCTGCCTGAGTTGAGCTTCTAGCCACAGGAAGTCACCAAGTCACCAACACAACAAATCACCACAGAGCCCTGTCCTATATCAGGGCTCCTGCCTGCTCCCTATCTTTGCCACTGGATGTGATGCTGGCTGCCTACAGCCTTGCTGCCCGGTCCCCAGTCAGTCTCAGCTCACTCACAGGTAACGCCTCAGTGTCTCCCAATCCCCACCAAGACCCTTCTCAATCATCCTGTCTCTCAAGGTACAAACGGCACATTGGCTTTAGTGCCTCCAGAATAATTAGGTGAATTTTAATAACACCTCGATGTGTGTCTCTCTTACTAGAGCTCTCTCCTGGCCTGGAAACCCTTCTGTGGCACCACGGACCTTCTGAAGCTGGCCTCTGAGGCCTCTCTACCAGCTTTCCCCTCTATGGCCGCTGCAACTCTCATCCCTGGAAGGCTTGGCCAGGGTGCCTCTGTCCTGTATTTGACCTCCCCTGGCCTTGGAATCGAACTTTCCTCTCCGTGGCTTTCTCCAGGAAGAAGAAAGCAGAAAGGCCACAAAAACTGTGTTCCACTCTGCAGGGCCACTACTACACCCTCAGGTCCCAGGCCACAGCTACTCAAGCTACATGAGAGAGGAAAACTAGGCCCTCAGCAACGTCGGGGACAGAGAACCTTGAAGGCTAGAGGCTGGGGACCTCTTAGTCACTTTCCTCAGCTGGCCTATTTGCCCAGACATTCTTCTGCACATGTCCTAGCCAAAGACTGGGAAGGCTGGACAACTTGGGGAGAGAGAGGAAGGAAGGAAGAACAGCGGAGAGCAGGCCCCTAGCCCCCGCTTTTTAGGCTGAAGCCCAGAGCCCCGACCACAATGTTTCAAGCCTTCATCCACACACATCTGTTCAGGAAGGCTCTCCCTCCCTCTCTCTCTCCTTCTCTCTCTCTCTCCTTCTCTCTCTCTCTCTTTCTCTCTCTCTCTCTCTCTCTCTCTCTCTCTCTCTCTCTCTTTCTCTCTCTCTCTCCAGATACCATGGCAGGGGGCCCACTTGTCACACTGGGCCCCAGATGGCATCAACCGAGGCACCCCACTGAAAGCAGCACCCCACCCTCCTGGAAGCCCCCTTACCGGTCACGACGGGGTATGTCTGTGTGCCTGACACATTGCTGCCCAGCTCGGGGTTGGCGGATGCAGAGAGACCTGACTTGACTTCATCAAGCCCAGGGGTCAGGGCCGGGAGAGAGTACTCATTCCCCTGGGAGGAGAGAGAAAAGTGACAGCTCTCTATTGATGTGCATACGTGGAAGGATGCAGTGTGCAGATGGAGAGGAGGACCCTGGAGCCCTCCCAGATGGGGCGGAAGGAGATGGCTGGGTGGGGCAGGGAGTCGGGGAGAGTTTGGAGAGAGTGGTGGGCTAGTCCACCCTGGGGGTGGAGTTCACAGTGCTCCTGGAGCCTCTTCTTTAGCTTCTGCCTAAGGAGCTCCAGGGGGGACATAGCAGTAGGGAACCTCTTGCTGAGACGTCTGGGGTGCTCAGGTTCCTCTGAGGAGGAGCCTTGGGGAGCAGAGATGGTCCCTGACACATGGCCGAGGTAGTTGTTGGGGGAAGGGCCTCGCGGGGCTTTCAGCCTGGCACTGCTGGGTTGGCTGATGGGGTATGGGCGCCCCTTTTTAAAAAACAAACAAAGACAGCCCCATGGGCCCTTTGCTCTCTGCCTGTGCACTGGGGTATGAAATTGGGGAGGGGGAGAGTCCACATGGCTAACAGAAGGGTGGGAGGGGGCCAGCCATTGAGTCTGAAAGGGTGTCCTGCCCGAAACACTTGGGTAATTGCCTTTTTATTGCAGCCACCACCAAGCCAGACCCTGGAGCTGGGCAGCCCAGGAGCCTGCACAGAGCAGGAAAAGTTGCTCTGATTAATATTACGTTAAATTAAAACTGATTTTCTGCTCTTTCGGGTCCGTTTTTTTTCCTTCCGCTTCCTGGCCCCCCCCAGAGGACCCCCGCCCCTCTCTGGCTGGACGGGATTGCCTCGTCATTTCCAATTCCTTCTCGTATTGATCTTCCTGTAGAAATCAGTTTTGTAATTAGCTGCAAATTAGGCCTTCTACTGGGGGTGAAGCTGCCCCCTGATTTATCACCAGAGTAATTCGCTGTGATCGGAGAGAAATTAAAATGAACTCAATTAGGCTTCGGATTTGCTTTATGGGCCCTGCTCCGAGTTTCAGGGGGAAAAATGACTGTGCTGGTGTTTAATAGTCTAATGAAAGTAAATAAAGGTTATTCATTGTAATACAGCCGGGGACTTGGGGAGGGTGCACTGAGCCGCCCGCCTCGGCCAGCTCCTCCTTTGTTGGTTTATGGCTCAGGGCACCTTAAAAAGACTTTTGATTTTTGTTTTATGAAGACAAACAGCTTATGGGATAAAAGGCCGGGCGGGGAGAAAGTCGAGAGGCTAGGAGCTGTTGGAGTCTTAGAGTGTAAGTGTGCTACGAGAGCCTGAGGGGCTTTGCCAGTGTACAAGCGTGTGCACGTGTGTGAGCACGCACGCGTGAGTGCATCACAGCAGGCTGTGTTCTGCTGCACTCGGAGGCCTGACCTAGGTCATATATGTAGGCAGGCTGGGGCTATGGTGATGTGCGGGTGGAGGCGTGTGCTAGAGGAGTGTTGAGCGGGTGACCTGGGAAGCATGCGCACTTACGGGGTTTGCAGGACCGCTGGGTTACATAGCGAGAGCTGCGTGCGAGGGAAAGAGCGGGTACGGTAATGGGAAATGGGAAGTCTTCTTTAAGTTTTAAAATAAAAAAAAAATTATAGTGTGGGGAGTAGGTCATCCCATGGCACACATGTGAAAATCTGTGGAGTCAGTTCTTCCCCTCCGCCTTTACATGAGTTCCGGGACCAAACTCAGGCTGCCAGGCTTACAGCGCTGGGTGGCAAGTGCCATTCCCCTCTGAGCAATCCTGCTGGCCCTGAAATGGGAGGTCCTTGGGGATACGCTTCCAAGTGGTGTGTTTTGCTGATGTGGCATGTGCGCCAGGCTGCGTTGCGCTCCGTGTGCTTCTGTGTCTGTGGGCATGGCGGGTGACTAAGACAACCGGCCGCTGGCCTGGGTTCAGAGTAGGTGGATGCATCAGAAGGCAGCCAGGTGGGCTTTCCTTCTGACACAGGACAAGAAGATCTCCATAGACTTTCTGTAGCACCTCGTGAGGGCAGGGCGCAGGTCAGAGCAAGGGGATATTTCTGTCCTTGTACCAGGGTCACAGAAGGCAGAGCTAGGGTGAGGGACTGGGGAACGCTGCACCATCCTTCATAAGGAATTGGAAACTCTGAATAGAGATAATATTCATCCTTTCACCAGAGCTCATCATTTTCAGCGAATTATTTCTCTAAGCTATGCCTTAACATTGGTCTGTGCTGTCACGGTCACAAAGTGCACACACGGTAGCCATATGAACGCACACCGTGCTGGGTGCTTGGTGTGAGAGGGGCCGTGCTCCGCCCAGTTCCTTTCTGCTCTGGGTGAACAGGAAGCTCCCCTCTCACCTGTTCTGATTTGATGTGCTCTGATGCCTGGAAGACATCTGGATAGGAAGGTCGTTCAAAGACCCGATCCAAAGCTTCCAGCTGCTGCTGGGTGAAGGTGTCGGCTCGCAGGTGCTTCCGCAAACTGTCCACACCGCTCTGGGAGTCTCCATTAGGGACAGAGCCCTCGGACACATCTGGGGAACACATAGACACTTAAGGGATGAGCACTAGGCCAGCAGAAACAAGGAAGGATGTGGTGGGTAAATGATTGGGCACTTGGCTCTGGACCCCGGCACTCTGTGCCTCTGCTAAGGTCCCTTACTTCTAGTCCATAAACTAGAGGAGGAAACTGGAGGCCTAGGCCTAGAGGCCAAAGAGTCTGGCCCTTCCTCAGAGACCTGGCTGAGGAAGTCAGAGCCCTGAAATAGTTGAGGAGAGAAAAAGAAGGGGGATCATAGCTGTGTGGATAAGAAAGACTAGGCAGAGGTGGAGCCCGGGGGTCCCACGAAGCTGCTTTCAAGGCTCTCTTTTCCCAAGACCTCCACCCATCCCCCAGCCTGAGTCATCTAGGGCTGGGTTCCCAGACAGGCATTACTGTGGAGAATTGAACTGGGTTCAGATAAATTTCAGTTCCACGGATTCCAGGGGTTGAAAATCATCAAATCTCTGAAGCTGAGTATAACACAGAGTCTGGGGAAAGTAATTAACTTCTCCCAAGGAGGAAGGGTTCTGAGAGCAAAGCTGAGGTCCCCTGGCTGGGCTGGAGACAGAGCAGAGGAGCCATGTACGGTTAGCACCCTGGACAGACTCCAGAGAACATGCAAACTGCTGTGACCTGGCACCGTTCTCCCCTGTAGGATCCTGGCTCAGGCCTCAGCAGGAGCTAGCTCCCTGGACACATGGTTATTCCATCAGGTTTCCACCAAGAGACAAGGCTTGCTCCATGGGAAAAGGACTGGACAGTGACCACTAGAGCCCATTTCCAGCCAGAAGGCAGTCTGGTCTCCAAGTGAGGTTCCATGGTCCTCGTTTGCTGTCCATCACCCTGTTTTGTCCCTGCCTTCCAATGTTGGGTCACTTGGAGCTTTTAGAGCATACTGAGAACAAAGCGCCTGCCCCACAGCCCCTTTGAGCCCTCACTAGCAACTCTCCTGGTCTTCCAGCCCCAGCCCTCCATCCCTTGGCTTCCCTCAGCCCATGACAAGCTAGGGAGCCTTGGACCTGGGGCCAGCCTGTGCTTTAGGGCCCAGGGTGTTCTTCCGGGACTGTTATATATATCAGTTTATAGGTGATTATATGATATGATATAATCAATATCGCATTATATACAGTAACATCGTACAGTATCATTTGGGAGACCATAGAAAGTATTACATATTGATTAACCTCAATCTACAGCCATCCTCCCTCGCTGGCCGCCCAGATGGAGCAAAAGGCACTGCTTTCCAAAAGGACTTCCCATCTTCCCACCATACTGTGCAGGAGCAAAGAAAGAATGTGTGTGTGTGGGGGGGGGGGAGAAAATATGTAGAGAGAGAGGGGAGGGAAGAGAACAAGAGAAAAAGAGAGAGAAAGACACATAAAGAGAGAGACACACACACAAAGATGGGTCTGAGGTGGGCAGAGGCAGCCTTGGTGGCATGCCTGTGTTCCTGTGGATGCAAGACCTGGTAGCTGTACTTTTTCTGCCCGGTTCTGGAACCATGTGTGACCCTGTAGGGAAACTGGACTACAGTATACTCATTTCCCCCTTTGTGTGGGTGTTCTCTGTGCATATATATGTGAATGTAATAAACATCTGGCTGAATAAGTGTCTCGATGAGTATGAATGACAGTGGGAGTCTTTTTTGGAATTACGCGTGCAGACAAGTAACGCAAGCCATACCCCCTTTCTCCCGCGAGCATCTCTTTCCAGGATGTACATCTCCCCACCTCCACCGCCTGTCACCGTCTGCATGGCCCACTGTGCCTAACTGTCTCTGCTTGCAGCCCTCCTGCTTTCCAGGGAAGCCCTGCTGCCAGGGCCCGGTGAGAACAGCATCAGGAGACTTGGTATTTATTGCTCCTTCTGAATGGGTCCTAGGGAGCAGACGGTACATTTGTCTGTGAGCATGCATTCAAATATGTGTGTGAGTGTGAGCACACACACGTGGCAAGAGGCATTTCATGCCTCTGTGTGGATTTGTGTACATGCCTGTGTGTGGCTTGCTTCACCCTGTGACCAAGATGTGTGTGTGTGTGTGTGTGTGTGTGTGTGTGTGTGTGTGTGTGTGCAGGAGCTGAACTAAAGCTTTGTCCTCAGGTCACTGGCTGGAGGAGTCTCTTTGCCTTCATTTATTCAGGGGCCCTTCAGATCTTGACAAATCTGTCACTCTAAATTTGCGAGAGATTATGGCGCTCTCTCCCCAGCCCGCAGAGAGGTGATATATGATATCTGCTGCCCCTATTGATTGCCTGATCTGGTGGCAGAGGCCGGCGAAATGAACTTGAAATGAACATCATGCCTCAACTCATTGTGCGTATAATACACTACTTAATCCCACATTTTTCAGCCGCTATGGAATTCAATTGATCAATCATGTTCCACTGATAGTACTGTTTTAGGGGTTATTGCTGCTCCCTCCGCTCACTGACCTTTTTATTTATTTATTTTTTTGTACACACTGGCCCTGGTGGTAAGACAGGTTACAGAGGCAGCAAAGGAAAGCAGGGGAGGGCTGGAAGGGAAGGAAAGAGGAAACTCACTGCTGGAAGAGGAGGCCCTGGGAGGTGGAGACTGAGGAAGGGGAGATGGCAAGTAGGGCAGACAGGTAGGAAGAACGTGCTAGTGGCTGGTGCTGGAGGACAAAGCTGGCAGAGAACTCTGACCTCAGGCTGGAGGAGTCCCGAGGGAGTCCCCGAGTGGAAAGAAAGGCCACAGAGGAAGCATCTTCTTCTGGAAAGGTGGGGTTTTGATGAGTAGTGAAGTACGGTAGAGGGACTCATGGCATTGTGTGTGTGTGTGTGTGTCTCTGTGTGTGTCTGTGTGTGTGTCTGTGTGTGTGTCCGTGTGTGTGTCTGTGTGTGTGTCTGTGTCAGGTAAGTGAGCTACAGGGCAGGGAGCGGAGTGCAGCTACTGCTGGGAGGCAGGGAGACATTTCCCTCCAACTCAGTCACGGGCCTGGGCTGTCCCTGGGTGCTCTGTGAAGGCAATGAAGAAGGGGGAGGAGCTAAGGGAGGGCGGTAGGGAGGGAGAGAGAGAGAGAGAGAGAGAGGGCAGAAGCAAAGAAAGGGGGGGGGAGGGGCCATGGACCATGAAGGTGCAAGGAGGAGCCTCTGCTAGAAGCAAGCAGAAAAGCAGCGGAAGGGCAGAAAGAGGGAGAGGGAAAGGAAGAGACCTTCCACACCAGAAACCAGGAGGTGCTGGACAGCGTGAAGATGCTTAGCAAGAAGGATGGAACCTGGTGTTGCGGCTGAGTGTCCAGCTTTGGAGAGAGTCTAGAGTTAGGAGGGGGTGAGCTGGGAGGCTAGGAAGAGGAGGAAAGGGGGAGAGAGCATGAAAGAAGAGGGTGGGAAAGTGGAGTAAAAAAATGGTTGGCAGTGCTTGCCACCTGGAGTGCCATGAAGACAGCACTCAGGCAGTCGAGAGAAGAGGCCACAGCAAGGGTCAGCCAGGGCCTGAAGGGCTATCTGGCAAAGCTGTGAAACTATGGGCAGTCAGAATTGTGTCCTGACCTAAGTTTTTGAGTGAGAGGGAAGGAACACACAAGAATAGTTAGGTAACACCAATCACAAAGACAAGTCGTTCCCAAGAAGTTTCTATGGGCAGGGACCATGGATTTCTGTAACTCTATGCTAGGCACGACACATAGCAGGTGCTCACTGACTGACTGACTGACTGACTGACTGACTGACTGACTGAGACTCTCCCTTGCAGTATTCAGAATGAGACCCCTGGCAGAAATTTTCTAGACTGTCTGGTCTCACCTGATTGGTCCAGCACAAGTACATACTGTAGTTTGTCAGTCAGTCCTACTGCCTGTTAGCTTCTGGCAGCATCCCACCTCAGGTCCCCTGGAAGTCCTTCCTGCCTCAGGAATGCCACCCACTTACCTGCAGTGCCTGAAGCTAACAGAAAACACTGTTCCTAGTTCAGGTGGAATTTAGCCTTGAAATCAGAGGGCTGCCACCTAGAGCAGGTGGCAGAAGCTGCTCCAGGACAGGGTTCAGGGTCTACATGAGTCTACATTTGAACTCCTTGTGTCAAGAAGGCTCAAGTATGGTGTCTGTATGTTCTGAACGTTCTGGAACAATCCCTATTTACAATATTTCTTTCAAGACTCAGGCTATGCTTTTAGAGAGAGGTGGAAAACGCTGTTGCTGGTTTCCCTCAACATTTGTGGGAAATTGACTGGGTGCTGGCCCAACAGTTCCCATGGATGAGTCAATCCTGCTTTCCCCTGGCCCCTGCCAGACACCCTAGCACTGCCCAAAGGCCAGGAGCCCCTTGGACTGGGCTGTGGTTCAGTGAGAGCATTTACACAGCACATTCGAGGCCCTCGATCCCGTCTCCAGGACTATAAAACAGACATACAAACAAACAAAATAATGAAAAGAATTCTAAAACATACATGGCAATGCATGCCTAGAATCTCAAAATTCAGGAGGCTACAGCAGGGATATTGTGAGTCCCAAGCCAGCAGGGGCTATCTAGTGAGACCCTATCCCAAAAGAACCAAAGACCAAAAAGCAATGCTTCTGCGCTTCAGAGTTCATTGAATCCTTCCAACAACGCCGTGAAATAAACTCCACGGTACGTATTTTATGTATAAGGAAGCCAAGACAAAGGACATTAAGTAGCTTATTAAAGACCATGTCCCTAGTAAATGATAGTCAGGATTTGAGTCCAGTCTAACACGAGAGTTTGTCTTCTAAATTACTTTACTCTGAAGCCTAGGTACTGAAGCCGGGGGTCCAGCCAAGTATCACTTGGCCCTATTCAGGGTGCATCCCCAGTTCTTTGCTGGTACTTTTCTCTATAGTGAGGCTGATCCCTGTGGTGTGTGCTGGCTGAGCACAGACTGCTTAGATGATTAAGGTTCTTTCTACTAGTTGGGTGGACAGGCTATAGGTGGATTAGTGAAGCCCATATTATCTTCTTTGACTTCTTATTTATTCATAGATTTTGGGTTATTTGGGCTTCCAAACAATTACT